TGGCACCACCGCACCCGTCTCGGCACACCCCTCACAGGTTCCGTAGCCCCATCGGGAGCTCAACCGAATGCCCCAGTTGCAGCGCGCGCATGGCACCACCGCCAACGTTTCGGCACACCCCTCCCACGTTTCGTGACCCCTTTGGGAGCTCCACCAGAGCCCTCAGTGGCAACGCCGCGTGACACCACCACGCCCGTCTTGGCACACCCTCACACGTTTCGTGGCCCACAAAAGTGCTCCATCGAAAGCGGTCGGTACCCACAACGCGGTATTAACAGCTGCATCTGGTTGGGTCTCTCGCCAGGATAGGCATGATAATTTTGGGCGCCTGTTCCTCAGAGGAGCAACGCTACCTGGGGGGCGGGGGGAGGCATGGAGGAATATAAACACAGTAGCGAGCAGAGGGGGCGAGGATGAGGAGGAGGATGAGGAGAAGGAAGGCACTGCAGTTCATAACGGTGAGCGGTCACGCCGGGTGAGTGGCGCCCCTCGGCTGGCTGATCGGGTTCGGCTGGCTGATCGGGGCGCCAGGGCCTGGTGCGTGTCGTTATCTGAGGGGCGCGGTTCGAAAAACTGTAGGTCGCCTGTGCCATTCTGCTCCTGGTTGCAGGCTCCAAGCGTCACGATATGTTTGCTCTGGCCACAAAGTGCCTTATCAATTCGTGCTGTTTCATAGGTTGTGCAGCATCTTGTGGTGGCCGCAACCACAAGAGTTTCTGTTCATGTCCGTGGCTTCGCGGGTTGATTCCCAACTCGTTGTGTTTTTTTCAGGAGTTGCGGTTTCTCGTGGAGGCCGCGGCTGCGAATGTCCTGACCCCTGCGATCGCCGTCTCTGCGTTTCGGCGAGCTCGAGGGGTAACCACGTACACGGCAGGTGTTCCCAGTAGCACTTGCTTCGAGAGGGTTTTGCCACTGGCCTTCCCTTTCTCGCTGCATCGAAGGCATTGAAGGAGGAGGAGGACGAGGAGGAGGAGGAGGAAGATGAAGACACATCATACTACTAATAAGAAGAACAATCATAATACTGAGAATAACAATAATAATACAGTATTAGTATTATTGTTATTCTTAGTCGCATTATCATTGTTAGTATTATGAATACTAACAATGGTAATGCTACTAATAATGCTAGTAATAATAATGCTAATGCTACTACAGTAGTAATAATAATATTACTAAGAAGACTAATACTAACATGACCAAGAAGACGAATACTAATAATGATCACACAAAGACGCAAACTAAGAATAATAATACAACTGTTAATCATACTACTACTACTCATAATGATAATAATGATACTAATACTAGTAACACTCATACTAATACTAATAATAATAATACTGATGATGATAATACTAATAATACTATTAATACTAATAACAACAATAATAATACTAATACTAATAATAATAACAATAACAATAATAATACTAATACTAATAATAATAATAATAATAATATTAATAATAATAATAATAATAATAATAATAATAATAATAATAATAATAATAATAATAATAATAATACGCGTGCGACGAATAACAATAATACTAATACGGAGGAGGAGGAGGAGGGAGGAGGAGGAGGAGGAGGAGGAGGAGGAGGAGGAGGAGGGAGGAGGGAGGAGGAGGAGGAGGAGGCGGAGGAGGACGATGGGGGAGGAAAAGGAGGCGGAGGACGAGGATGACGAGGAGGAGGGAGAGGAGGAGGAGAAGAGAGGAGGAGGGAGAGGAGGCGGAGGAGGAGGAGGAGGAGGAGAGGAGGAGGTGGATGAGGAGGATGAGGAGGATGAGGACGAGAAGGAGGAGGGGGAGGAGGAGGCGGAGGAGGAGGAGGGAGGACGAGGAGGAGGAAAAGGAGGAGAAGGGAGGAGGAGGAGGGGTCGGGGGCGGAGGAGGAGAAGGAAGGACGAGGAGGAGGGGGAGGAGGAAGAGGAGGATGGGGAGGAGGACGAGGAGGAGGAGGAGGAGAGAGGAGGAGAGAATGAGGTGGAGGAGGAGGAAGAGGAGGGACATGAGGAGGAATAAGGGGAGGAGGATGATGATGAGGAGGAGGAGCAGGAGGAGGAAGAGGATGATGCTGATGATGATGATGATGATGATGATGATGATGATGATGATGCTGATGATGCTGATGAGGAGGAGGAGGAGGAGGAGGAGGAGGAGGATGTGACGGAGGATGGGCAGGAAGAGGATGATGAGGAGGAGGATGCGGAGGAGGAAGAGGGACGGCTGGAATGCTGTAGATTCTGTAGCGTTCCAGGACGTGCCCAGGAGGGGGAAGGAGGAGGAGGAGGAGGAGAAGGAGGAGGAGGAGGTGGAGGTGGCGGGGGTGGAGGAGGCGGAGGACACGATGGATGAGCATGCACATTATGATGATGAGGATGATTACGATGATGATGGGTATGCTGATGCTGATGATGATAATGATGTCGATGATGGTGCTGATTACGCTGATGATGATGGTGACGATGATGGTGATGCTGATGACGATGACGATGATGCTGATGACGGTGATGATGTCGTTGTTGGTGGTACTGATGCTGCTTCTGACGATGAGGATGGATGCTGATGCTGATGCCGATGATGATTCTGATGATGCTGATGATGCTGATGATGATGATGAG